GTTATATCGAAATATCAAAATGTTTTCAGCAAAGAGAACCAATAAGCTCGTCGAGAGTGAAATACTTTAGGTTTTTAGCTTCGATAATCGTCGTCTTCTTTGATTGCCAAGACTTTGGAAGAGAACATATCATCTTCCTCACAAGCTTCGAGGGATTACTTCTCCAAATCCCTTGAGACCATCGACAATCACGAAAAATCTATCCGTCAGAGCTTTGATGTCTTCATCGGGTTTCATCTTGAAATTCTCGTAGCTATGGATGAGAAGACTTATCTTGGTTTCCCTCACTTCATCGGTTCCTTCATGAGTGACATTGAGCTTATCCCATATCTCATTGGCATTGGAATATGAGCAGACTCTTCCATATTCATCCGGGCCTAATGCACAAAAGAGGATGTGCATAGCCTTAGCATTGAGCTGTAACTTTTTCTTCTCTCCATCACTCCAATCGTCCATCTCACCGGGTGGAGTGGAGTAACCCTTCATGATTGAGTTCCAAGCTCCTAAATCATTGGCTTTAATGAAGAGTATCTTCCAATAAGCATAATTTGCTCCATTGAAGTAGGGTGACTTGTTGACCGATTGTGAATCTTCAATTTAATAGGCACCGGAGGTTAAAGCAATTTATTTGTCGGTTGCGTCGGGAATCGGTAGAGCTTCTTCGAGGATCGTCTCAAGGATGTGAAGCATTCTAATGAGTCAAGCTCTGATACCAATTATTAAGATTTGCGGAAGCTCGAATTGACAACCGAAAAAGTTATAAGATGGTGAATTGATAATAATTTGATTAGGGAGCAAGGAGAGTAAAAAAAAGAAATTTGGCACAAGGATTTATAGTGGTTCGACTTATCAACCAAGTTTACTTCCACTACCTAAGCTCCTCACTTAGGACTTTCTAACAAATTCACTAATTTGTTCTTTCTTTTTAAAGTATCAAGAGATAACCTTTACACTCCCTATCTTTTCACTTGGCTAAGATAGAACCAAACCCCTTTTACAAAAGGATAAAAGAAGTAAACAAGGAAATCTCTCTAAGGTAGGTGTTTACAAATTTAAGTTCACTAAAAACAAAAATATTTACAAGAGAGATAAAATAAGATTGGAAAACTCTTCTTTTGTGTTTGATTGCTTGGATAGGTGTTCTAACCTTTCTTCAAGTGTCATCAACTTGTATTTATATGTTGGAATGAAGTAGTGGATGTTTATAGCCGTTGGGGATGATTTGGAGCCGTTTGGGGATGAAATCTCTACAAAATAAAACTGTCCAGTACAGAGGGTATCAGTACTCTTAATGGGAGTATCGGTACTACCTTTGTTATTTTTAAATCAACTAGCCGTTAGGACATGATGTTATCGATATTACTATGTAGAGTATTATCGGTACCCCTTTGGGTATCGGTACCATGTTTGTATTCTGGAATTTGACCAATACTGGTAGTATTGGTACTACCTAGTGAGTATCAATACTTCCCTTACTTTTGGTATCGGTACCATATGAACAATATCAGTACGTTCATTAGGTATCGATACTGTAAGAATAATATCGGTACTTCTTGTCCAGAAAATCATTTTGTGCTCAATTCAATTTAAAATGGACTTTGAATTATTTTTGAAAACTTTTAAAATTTTTTGAATAAATTCAATTCAATTCAAATCCAAAAACATTTTACCTTAATTGTTATATCAAAATATAGTTCAATGATATCTTTCCATAATAGTAGCTTTAATGTTGGAACTTAACTTTTCTTATTTTATCTTTGATGTATCTCATCATTATTTCATGCATTTTCTGGTAAAATTATTATCAGTTTGATCGTAATGCTAGCATCATATAAAAAAGAGAGCTAGTTTATGCTAAATTTGAGTGAATTATAAACTCATCAAAATGAAACTAGTTATTAAAAGGAATGCTATTCACCAATAATCATTAGTTTTAGTAGGATTATGTATTAAATATCTTAAGTAAGGTCAGATGTTTGAACTATGACCTTTGCGAATGAAGTAAATTGAGTTGGGATGGTCGTCCTCGTATGAATCTATATAAAATTCGACCTAAATTAGTTATTCAATAGATCAATATCAATGATTAATTTTTTTATAAAAAAATTATTCTCCTTAAATATCTTGAATTCAAGCAACTACATTTATAAATATACGCGTTACAAATAACCAAAAAAATATTATAAATAAATATTACTTTATAATCCTCTTAAATTAATTGAATTAAATCAGTATTTTCAGCCCGGTGTCAGGACTAAAACAACAATTATACAATTGTTTTGTCGTTTTCTAATTATCTCTTTTCCACTCCCACCACTGAAAATAAATAAATAATTAAATAAAAGAAATGAAAATTCACTCCGAATATAAATCACAAAACGGAACCCAATGGATCCCAAAAAATCTCCATTTCCCACTTTATATGCTTCTTCTTCTTCTTCATCATCTTCATCTTCTTCAGAAACACAAACAAAATTACGAAAAGGATACAAAAATCTGGCGGAATCGTAAGTAATGACGGACTATCAGTTACCGCCGGCGATGAATCTCTGGTCGGACGTTAACGCATCGGTTATGGACGCTTTCATGAGCTCCGATATCTCTTCTTTGTGGCCGCAATCCTCTGCATCCACTTCCACACCCGTCGCTTTTGTTGAACCCGACACTTTTAAGTCCTCCCTCACCGCCCAGTCCCATCCCTCCGTTTCTCAAGACTCTCTTCAACGGCGTCTCCAAGCCCTCCTCGAAGGCGCTCGCAATTGCTGGAATTACGCCATTTTTTGGCAGTCCTCGAACGATTACTCCGGAACCGCCGCGCTCGGCTGGGGCGATGGGTATTACAAAGGAGAAGAAGATAAAGGAAAATCGAAGTCGAAAGCTTCTTTGTATGCAGTCGTGGAGCAAGAACATCGTAAAAGAGTCCTCAGAGAACTCAACTCTTTGATTTCGGGGTCCAGCGTCACTGCCGACGATGGCGTCGACGAAGAAGTCACGGACACCGAGTGGTTCTTTTTAGTTTCCATGACGCAGTCTTTCGTCAACGGCAGCGGCCTTCCGGGGCAGGCCTTTTTCAATTCAAGTCCGGTTTGGGTGGTTGGATCGGACAGATTAGCCGGTTCGACGTGCGAGAGAGCGAGGCAAGGCCAGATTTTCGGTTTGCAAACGCTGGTTTGCATACCGTCTGCGAATGGGGTTGTTGAATTGGGGTCGACGGAACTTATAAACCAAAGCTCAGATCTCATTAAAAAGGTTCGAGCTTTGTTTAACTTCAATAATGGAATTGAAACTGGTTCCTGGTCTATTAGTAATACTACTGCCGATCAATTCGAAAATGACCCGACTTCGCTTTGGATTACTGATCCTGATCTATTAGATGCACTTAATCAAAGCAATAACAATAATACTAGCAATCAGAATCCCAGTTCTAGTAGTTTAACCTGTAATCCGAGTTCTACTCATGTTGGAAATCATCAGCAGGGCCTTAGTTTTTGCTTGAATTTCTCCAATAATGGCTTTGATGAGAATTCCCCTTCCCACTTGTTGAAACCAGAATCTGGGGAGATACTAAATTTCTGTGACAGTAAGGGAATCGGTAACGGAAATTTGTTTTCGGGTACCTCTACGAAGAAGAGGTCACCTACTTCGAGAGGGAGTGATGAAGAAGAGATGGTTTCGTTTACTTCTGGCGTAATTCGGCCTCCTTGTGATGTGATGAAATCAAGTGGTGGTGCAGGGGATCCCGATCTCGAAGCTTCGGTTGTTAAGGAAGCCGATAGTAGAAGGGTTGTCGTGGAGCCTGAGAAGAAGCCTAGAAAAAGGGGACGAAAACCGGCAAATGGACGAGAGGAACCTCTGAATCATGTCGAAGCGGAGAGACAACGACGAGAGAAGCTTAACCAGAGGTTTTACGCCCTGCGTGCGGTGGTTCCTAATGTATCGAAGATGGATAAAGCATCCCTTCTCGGCGATGCTATTTTATATATCAACGAGCTTAGGAGAAAGCTACACGATGCAGATTTGCAGAAAAAGGAGTTGCATAACCAATTAGAGGAGACAAAGAAAGAACTTGTATGTAAAGACCAAGGCCACACGATGCCGAACCGCATCGACTACAAATTGGCAGAATTAGATATCGATGTTAAGATTATTGGATCGGATGCAATGATCCAAATTCAGTCCAATAAAAAGAACCATCCTGCAGCAAAGTTGATGTCTACCTTGGAGGAGCTAGAGCTGGATGTGCAGCACGCTAGTGTGTCTGTTGTGAACGAATTAATGATACAGCAAGTAAATGTTAAGATGGAGAGCCGGTTTTACACACAGGAGCAGCTCAGCAGAGCTCTAACATCTAAAGTTGGTGATGGAAGGTAGAGAGAACTGAGCATAGCTCGATCTGTTTCGAACAAGTCGGATAAACCGGACCCAAAGTTTCATCGGCATCAATAGCACAAGCAGTGTAAAGTGAGAAATAGGCTTGGCTTTTGTGTTGAATCTTGTAGTATATTGTTATAAATGAGAATTTGAATGAAGTTCTGGGTTTGCTGTTCACTGAGAGGATATTGGATGCATTCAGGTTAGAAAATAAAATCTTAATGGGGAGTTCGCAGACATCAAATTATTAGTGTTTGAATCCATTTATTCCTGCCTTCACATGCGTTTTGCTGTTGTAAATACGAGAGAGGTTCATCAAATTATACATTTCCCTTTTCGATCACATTCAATTATTTTAATATAGAAAGGTAATAAAAACGTACAAATTATAATTTTATTTATAATTTGACCCATAATACTTTTCGTAAGTTCAATCACATCAAACTATAAACTAAATCTTAGATTAACATTTCAATCATATCCCAAAATATTAATATCATGTAATTGTAAATTCCTTAGTCATCATTTTGTTGGCAGATTTTTGTGATCAGATAACGTAAGAACGAAAGGTAGTCCATATTGTAGAAACGAAGGCATTGCAATGGCCGAGGCCATGCATCAACGTACTCTCATCTTTTCATCTCAAAGCTCCAATCCCTCCTCATCCCAGGGCTCCTCAGCAGCCTAGGGTTACCGTCAACTTCGAACGCCACTGCTCCGTTATCGATCGTATTTAGGCGGCGATGGTGACCCTTCTTCGAACCGATCACCGGCATGATTGGATCTTCCCTTCTGAGTTGTTCATAAACGGCGGGGCTTATCTCGGACTTACTTCTACAATCTTTGGAGCGAATTTTCCTTGTATATATTGGTTTAGCACAATGATGATCTATATCATTGTCTGAATCTGTTCTTTTCAGGATCTGGCAATTCAAGCAGTTGAGACTCATGGTTTTTTAGGAGGGTGGAGATAGAAGAGATGTTTTATACACGTGTTTGTGTGTGTGTTTTATTTTTGAAAATTTCACTTGGGGTTTTGATGTTTTTAAAGTGAAGAACTGATTGCAGTTTGCAGATTTGTTTATTGGACAGCTTTGGGTGTTTTAATTTAGAGCTAGGAAGACGGGTAAGCCAGTTCTAATTTCTAAATTCGGTTGTCAAAAAATTTATGGGTTTTACGTACAACTGATAGAAGAAACCAATTTGTTACGGGTGGTTTCTCATTAAGTATTGTATGATATATGGGTTTAGAGTTCCATTGTTATCATCATGAAAATTTAAAATTATCATATATTTTAAATATAATTTTTTATTGATTATATACTTTCGTCGTTAAATTTTTATCCCTTGAAAATTTAAAATTACAATATATTTTAAATTCTAGTTTGTCACCCTAAAATTTTAGTTCAACTCCTAGAATTATAGTTCACCCCTTAACATAAAATTATGTGTCCGTCCTGCCGGTGTTGGTCCAATTGTCATCTTAAAACTTTATGCATATTTAGAGGAATTTGAGTTGTTCCTTCTAACTAATCGCATTTGTAGCAGCATTTGTCTTTTCATTATATTTTGTGGGATTGTGCTGTGGTGGTCGTGATTGGTTTCTCTAAATCAAAAGTATGAATCTAATAAGCGATGGATTAAGGGGCGGGTGGGGCAGTAAACCCTTTAAAAATTTAAAATTAACTAGCGATGGATTAAGGGGACGGGTGGGGGCAGTTACCCCCTTCAAAATTTAAGATTATTATATATTTTAAATTTTTTCTATGTATTTTTATTGAAAATTTATTTTGTCCCCTAGAATTTTAGTTCGTCTTCTTGGAATTATAGTTCGCCCCCTTAAGTTTAAGTTCACCTCCTTAATATAAAATCATAGGTTGATCCCTGATCCTAGTTGGCATTGTTTGACGATATGATCTGTTGCAAGTTCGTGTTGTTTTGTGGCCGCTACTTTATGATCGACAATCTTTGACTTGCCTGTATTACTGCTCGAAAATGTTTCAAGATGTAAGATTTTTTGTAAGAAGTGAACTTATAAAATTATGAAATGATGAAAATAATTTATTAATAAAAACACGTGGAAAAAATATAAGAAAATTTAAAAATTGCAAAGGTACGACTGATTTTACACACCCTCGATAGGAGTGTGCAAATTCGGATATTGAATCCGATCAGAAAATCCAAATAACTAAAATAGTTATTCGAATCTGATCTGAAAAAATTGGGTATCCGAATTTTTAGATTGAATATCCGAATATCCGATCCGAACATATCATTTATAATTAAAAAATTATAAAAAAATAAAGGAAAAAATAAAATTAGAAAAATTATAATTGAAGCCTAAATGATAAATTAATTTAAAAATTATTACTAATAAAAAAATATCAGAATATAAATGATAAATTAGTTTTAAATATTTTGTTGAGTTAATCGATTGACGGAATTAGCCAAGAGGGGGTGAATTGGCAATTAAAAATTCGGTGGAAGCTTTTGCAGAAAATTGAAAAGATTTGCACAGCGATTTAGAGTGGTTCGACTTTCTAAATCAAAGTCTACGTTCACTACCTTAGCTATCCACACTAAGGATTTTCCAACAAATTCACTAATTTGTTCTTTCTTTTGAGGCCAAAGAGATAACCTTACAATACCCTCAAGAATATACCCCAATTCTTGAGAACACTCTTTTCCCAAAGAGAAGATTACAAATTTGCAAACTTACAAGGAAAACCTCACAAGGTAAGATGTTTGCACAATTCTAGAACAAGAAAAGAGCACTCAAAGATAATTACAAATGAGCACAAATGGTGTTCTTGAAAGCAAAATGAATATTGAAAGGAAAATTGGCTTGATTTGCACAAACTTGGTGTTTGATGCTTTCTCTCTTGTTTCTCTATAATTTCTTGTTGATCAAGGGCTTCAGAACTTGTTTAAATACACCTTGAATCACTTCTGAACGTTGGGGATAATTAATGAAGATAATATAGCCGTTTTAGTGTGAAAATAATTAATAAAACAGCTTGGAGCGTGGGGGGAATCGATTCCCCCTCATAGGGAATCGGTTCCCTAAGTGTAAAATTTAAATATTTCGACCGTTGAACAGGGGGGAATCGATACCCCCTATGGGGGAATCGGTTCCCTCCGAGCATTCTGGAAATCTCGGAGCCAAACCATTCAGGGGGAATCGGTACCCCCTTGGGGGGGGAATCGGTTCCCTCTGAGCAATCTGTAATTTTTGGCTTTGAAATGGTTCGAAATACTTTGAAAGATTATTTTGAAATTGTTTTAAGATTAAAACTTAATTTTACACTTAAGTAAGGATTAAAAAATGATTTTTGAAATATTTTGAGTAATGTTTTGATATTCGAATAATTATATCGAATATACTTAGAAAATCATTTTGGAAAATCTTAAAATTCATTTAACTTAATTTGTTATATCGAAATATCAAAATGTTTTCAACAATCTCCCCCTTTTTGATATAACAAAACATTTTAGTAATTTTAAGATTTTGAAATCAAGTTTTGAAATTACTCCCCCTTACTTTAACACTTCTCCCATTTATCATTTGAAAACACTTTAACACTTCTCCCCCTTTTTGTTAAATCAAAAAGACATTTTAAAGAATTTAAACAAGGTTTTGAAATCAGTTAGCCAATTGATTATATATAATATAAGCTGCTAAGATCACAAGCTAGAGAAACGTTAGCCATTAGTTTCATAATCAATATTCATAAACAATGTGATATGGTAAAATTGGTCATATTGCTAATAATGATATAAATGATGCAATAATGAATAAATCACACCAAACATATAAGTTCACACCATCCATAAATTCAAACATTCCAAAATATTCAAAATGTTAAAACAATAAGTTTGGAAAACAAAGTAAAACATTTAATCACATGTCCGGATCAGGAGGAGGAAAACGAGCTCGCATAGCGGCCATTTCGTTAGTGAGGTCATTAATACGTGCGTTGGTTGCTTCATTATTTGCACGCATTTCCCGAAGAATTTCTAATTGTTGAGCTCCCATTGTGGATAAATGGGACTCTATAGAATTAAAGCGCGAATCCATGGTCGCATATCGGTAATCAAATGTCTCCATAAAAGATTGAAAATATGGAGGCATTTGAGTCGATTGTTGTGCTTGCTCTTCGGGCTGCTCCTCGGGCTGCTCAGGTTCATCTTCAGCTTCATCGATGTCTCGCATTAATTGCTCAAGCTCGAGATATTCGTCAGCTTCGGGTGGAGCTTGTGAAGAACTAGCTCCCGGAGTAGTTGCAGAAGATCGAACCCATTCCCGGTTTCCTTATCCTTAATCCATCCCGCTCTCGTTAAGGAAAGAAGGTTAATTTGTTTCTTAAGAGGAAAAATGGCATCTAGACCGACTCTAAGCCCAGCTTTGGAAAACAGATTACTCAAAATACAACCGTAAACAAGAGATGAACAAAGTTTTTTATTAGGAACAAGATTTACGGTTTCAACAATTTCAGCAAAAAATAATCTGAGGTAGGTTGATTTTAATATTGTTTTCGAAACAATGTAACCACCAAAGATCTAAGGCTCTAAGAGTAGAATAACGACCTCCAGATGGTCGAAACCACCAAGAAATCATTAGATGAAGAAAACGTTCATGAAGGTCTAGGACACTTGCACTATCCCTTCTTTTATAACGAGATCCTAAAACCTGGTTTTCATTTGAAATCCCTTCATTATCTAATCCGAATGTATTGGCTATGTAAGCCGAGTCAATATATAAGAATTGTCCTAGAAGGTAGGAACGAATTCCTATGGTTTCAGTTTCAGTTTGGTCTTTAACACAAACGGCATTAGAATAGAAAATACGAACAAGTTGATGGTAAACGATGGGTTCAAGGTCAAAGAGTTTATCAAATTTCCACTCTTGTAAAAGAGGAAGATATTTAAAATTGATAGCTAACATAGCTTGACGAGAAGGAATACGTTCTTCCCGGATTTTGTAAGAGTCGAAATATTGATAATACCAAAAGAGATGATTTCTAGGACCAGGATGATTGAAACACGAATTTTGGATAGTCAAATTAGGATCAATAGGATTAGGATTAGAAATTGGAATAGGTGGAGGATTTGGAGGTGGATTTGGTTGTCGGTGTGAACGACTAGATGAAGACCTAGCACGTTTAGGATTAGACATGGTGAAGGAAATCGGAATAGATTGGATAACCTGCAATTTTAAAAACAAATGTATGCAATTCAATTAATCCCAAAACTCAATTGAGTCCTCAATATTTCAAGGTTCTCTAAATCAATCCTAATGGGCAAAGTTTTTTAAAAACTTTTGAAAAATATGGTTTTGAGAAACAATATATGTATAGTTTTCATAACAACAACATAATTTAATCAAAACACAATGATTTGAAAAACAACAAATTTTTTTTTAATTTCGAAAATTTAAAATTTTTGGAAAATTCTTGTGTTTTTTGATGAAATTAGTTGTAACATCTAGTTTCTAATCACAAAACAATCAATGCCCGATCACTATTTCAACCTAGAACTAATTAAAACTAATCCTATGTTCAAAATCAATAAAATAGGGAGTTTAGAAAAATTTACCTTGAAAGATGAAGATTGAGGGGATTTAGATGTTGCACGATTTTAATGATGATTGCAAGTTTAGGAGATGATATTTGAAGTGATTTCCAATTAAAATCAATGATTTGAGGCAAGAATGGAGATTTGAGTGTTTGAGGGTGAGAAACGGCGGAATAGGTTTTGGGGTTTTGGGTGCTCTTTTATAGTGGTATAGGCAACTCATATACTGAAAAATAATTATGTTCAAACAATTAAATTAATCTTTAATCAATATTTGAACATAAAGTTAATTTTTTATCAAGAATCATAAACTCCCCTAACTAATAGCAATGAATGCAATCAAAAATTACTATTATGAGCATTTTTCAGTATTTAT